CCGGAGGCTGGAACATTTTGACACGCCTCAGTTGCGTGCCACCGCAGTGCCACCGCACGCGCCACCCCCTTCATCTGAAGGCTCGTGTAACGGGGCGGCAGTGGCAGATCTCAATTCTATTCTGGAATTACTTTGAGATAAGAGTTACAAACACTTCCCTGAAGTTTGTTTGTTCCATCAAGCTACTATGCGTTTTTAACGACACAATGTCTTGGTCCTCATAATTTTGGACCACCCTGTACATCTAGTGTTCCTCTCGAAGCATCACTGGAGCAATCCCTTCGACAGGTAGAGTAGAGCTGTCCACTATATCCACGGATCTGCCGTTCTCTTTCAAGGGCGCTTGTGAGAACGGCAGCGATCGCTCTCGATTATAGTCCTGAGTTAATCTCGCTAGCGTTGCAACGACCGTATAGACGCGCAAGCGCGTCTCACTGTCGTCAATGTGTTAAGATTAATTAAGAGAAATGAAGGCCCTCTTTGTGATTTCCCCACTTCCAAATGGAAATCACAAGTTTCGATGGCACCTTTACGCTTTGAATATTGCTGAAATTATTGTGCGACATTCACGTTTTTGTTCATTTACAAAATCTGCGGATATGTGGTGAGGCGGCGGCGCCCACAAAATCGCGTCCGTCCCACGCGACCGAAAAGTGGAAAAGGGGCGTCGTCGTGAATGTGTTAACGTGATGAGCCGGTTAGCCAACATCGGTAGTGAAAAGCTGAGTTAGGGCGAAAGAAAAGAAGAAAAAACTACTTTTTCCTCATTGGAAGCTTAAAACATTTTAAACTTGATTGTTTCGAGTTGACCACATATCTTTCCATTCATAGCTCTTTGTCTTTGCTTCTAGCACTCTTTTCATCCACATGTTAATGGCAATAAAAAAAAGAGAAGTTAGGCGCAGAAACTTTTCTAAAATAGACCATATTCAACCATCCAACGAATCCTATCGTTTTTGATTACGTTTTATTCGCTGGGCGGAAGTGGTGTAGTGGCAAGTGGCACGCTTACCACGCGAGCGGTCCGGGGATCAAATCCTGGGTCGTGAGTCGCCCGGGCCAACCAAGCCTTCCATCCCTCCGGGGTCGGTTAATTGGATTGATCAACGACACATTCTTTATCCTTTTATCCTTTATTATTCGCTATTTCATTCGTTAATATCAGAAATATCCAAAAAAGGATATAAGCCAGTGGCAAGCGACTATTAGGTGGCAGCTTACATGGGCTTACTTTTGTACTAAGACAGTGAGAGACTGAGCACGGAGGAGGGAGGATAGACTAGAGGGCACAACAGATGAAAGAGGGTAGACATCAGCGTGCTGCGGACGAAGGAAAATGGAAGCGGTCCTTGCCCCCTTGTTGTGTATTCCAGAGCCAAAAGAAGGTACGGTGGGTATGAAAAGCAGTTCCCGAAGGTACTTCCGCGACCTTCGGAAACTGCTTTTCGTACCCATTAAAGGTATCCATCCGAACTCATCCTGAGTTGTTGTGTTCAGTGCAACTGGTGGGTTGGTGTCGTGGAATAGAAAATGGTTCTACGATATCTTCTCATCAATATTTTATGCGTTGCGTAATTAGCCATATGGCCCAAAGCCGGCTTCAAAACACGTTAAACGCTAGCATAAAGTGACGACGGGATCTGTTGCGTAATAACCTGCTGGCAGCAAAGCGGTTTTCTGCGTCTTAAAAAAATGCTTCCTAAGCTGCAACACACCTACTCCAATATTATTGCTAAAGGTGGCAAAACCCAACAAGGAGACTGTTTAGACTTCTGAGCGTAAAACTCCTCACTAAGCTGAACGGAAAATGCCGAAGTAGGCTTGAAATATCTCACTTTACCCGCTACAAAGTCCGTGAATCAATTTATCCGAACCTGATCTTGCCAAAAGTTGTATAATAGCGCTACAGTCCATATTTCGAAGTCTGATTAAGCGAGTCTATGGATTTTTGACATGGCGGGCGCCACACCTGATAGAAGTAGAAGTTGCGCGGATAAGCTGCTTCCAGCATCCTTTGCTGATATTCAGCGGGGTGTAGGAAACAACCTATCCACACGACTTCTATTGTGCGGCGACGGAACGCTTAACCCTTTCGGCCCTGGCGGTGGCAATTGCCACCACCAAATTCAAACGCTTGCATTTCCGCTGAAACAGCATGGTTTTTCTAATCCTGCTAGAGGTTGCTTCAGTCAACCTTCCCCTTCCTAATTATGAGCTTAACCGCCATTTTCATTGTTTATTGCTGTTAGTATTGCAAGTATTTGTGTACAAGTGCAACAGTGAATGGGCGCTGACCCCCGCAACCGGCCAAGTAAGTGTGACTTTTTCTTAAAATACTTGAAGTAGATCCATTCCTAAATCAAAATTATGGGTTATAATGTTATGCAAGATTATAAACTTTTTCGGCATAACTATGAAATTTCGAATTGTTTCGACATAAGCTTAAAAACTAAGAAGGTGGGCCAATTTTCAAAGCTTCTTAGTTTCTTTGTTTGTGATCGAATAGCTTCCAAATTTCGCCATAATGATACCTATATGCTCACAAGTAATAAACAATAGCTAGAAGAAAAATTTCTCCACGGGGAAAAATTCAGGTCCGAAAGGGTTAAGATGCCACACGCAACGCTCTAATCTGTCTTCAAGACATGAACTGTAGCCTAATACAAACATAAAACCAGCTTTCCTATCGACTAATAGAGCAAAAAGCATTATTCGAAGGAATCGCCCCTGTTCTCACAAGAGCAGATATAACAGGTAAGGATCCCAATCCTAGCACCTGTGATGCCACACATGGACCAGGCAGAGGTGAGCAGCCAGCCCAAGACGGTCACTTTCCGTTGCCACTCCGCATGAAGCCGTTTCGGTATTTTTATGTGATGTATAAACGCAATAAAGAATAATAGCTAGTAATGCGCGCACTTTACTAGCTTACCGACTACAGGGCCCTTACCTGAATAAAATTTTATGTCGACAAAAAAATTATATGAGTAGTAATTAGCATTTCATAGCACTAAAAGAACAAGCAGTGCTCAGGCTTGATAATCCTTTCGTTCAACATCAGGTCCACCAAAGTGTTCTGTAAGGGGAAATCTGACTTGTTAGTCGATCAGCATGTGATACAGTGCGTTCATAATGATAAGACACCCTAGGATGTTGCATTTGTGGAACCAGCAGCCAAGTGGGAATTTCTCTAGTATCGTCAAATAATTCCTCACTATGAATAAGGCACCTGTTATTGCAATTTTTGTGTTGGACGCATCCTGATTCAATTTTTTAAATTTTGTCTTGGTTTTTGCACTTCATAGTTATAAGGTCACCCTGAGAAAAAGGATTACCTAAAACCAATGAACGGCATAATAATTTACGGTTCTTGCTTTATTAAAGGCAAGAATCACGATTATTGATCGGGCTCCCACTCAAATGTGAAGTAGGGATGGAGGTGGACCGCCAGTGGAGAAAAAAGGAAAGAAAATCCTGAAATACACAGGAAATACGAGCATTTTGTTCATGCTGTGGAGAAGTTCAAAAGGCAGGCAGGGAGATGAGAGATAATGTGAGCGCGGAGAGCGGTAGAGAAGTCCGAGAGAGAGCATAGCAGATCAACGCAGCGACGCAGACAAGATATCGAACGGTGGGCGGACCATGTTAAGTTTGGTGGAGTCTGTTAGAAGTCCATGGCGCCTAGGGTCCTAGTGACGCGTTTCGATGTAGAAAGGTGGCGCTACCTTTGCACTTGCGTACCCAGCACTTCTAGCCATGGTAAGGGCTTCTTAGGTGGGTCTGAGCCCGAACTTTGCCTTTGAAGTGCAACATTAAAGAGCCTCCATGGCCTACTGGAATTGAGATTCCAAGACAGCTGACCACCGATTCACTTCCGTGCTTCAAAGGTTGCCTGAATAAACTCTTGCGTTGTTCCTACTGGCGCTTATCCGCATGATTCTTCATGTCGAAGATGTCCCCGAGATATCCTACCAAAATACGACTAGAAGGACGGCCTATTCAGACCACTGGGTTTTGAGAGTAATGCTGTTCTGGTTGTGTAACTTACATGGATACCTGTGCTGTTTTTTGAATACATCTGGGATAGCCGACTTCCTCGGCTCACGAGTGAGATAAAATGTCATTGCAAGACTCTATGCAGATCCTTGGAGTCCATTATGCAGAATACGGGAGCTAAATTCCAGCACAACATCATTACAGAAATCACCACATCTTCCGGTCTCCTTCACTAAAATCGCGAGTGCTGAAGTGAATCGGCCACCTTGCGTAGTCACAGGCATAAAAGTGTTCATATCACACGAAGCTGGCCCTACACAGCTTTGAATCCTCGGAAAAGCACCAACTATGAGATTATCTATAATGCTATGTGGTGCGATTGTGACGCAGGGCTTAGCTATGTGGTGCGATTGTGACGCAGGCTAAACTTGTCCATTCTTTTCTAACAATAAGTTCCACTTTCCAGATTGGAGTTGTATTCCCTCGTAACGACCAGTAAGCCTTCGAACCATCTTCGCATATTTCCTAACAATGTTGCTTATTTTTTCACCGCTCTCCAGCTCATATTTTTGAGATAGAAACATTAAATTACGCGCGACGCTGCTTTCAAGAGGAAATACTGTTTGGGACAGCCTCATAACTCTCTCTAATCAATTATAGAAAACTTTTGTGGACGATCGGAACTTGTACAATATCTGGAGGCATAGGAACTCTTCATGCGTATCTATGAAGGGAATTTCCGAGCTGCTTACAAAGAACGAACCGCGCTGACCACCACAAAATGCATGAATCTGGCCTTTTCAAAATACAAATACGAAGCACACCAAAATTTAGCTCCTGGATGTGCTTTGTAACAAATATTCAATTCCACAGGCAGGTTGTTGTTTCTCATAATGTAGTATTCATTTTCACAGGGTGACCTTATATTATGAAACGGTGCAAAAACCGAAAAATAATTATAAAAAAGTTCGAAGAAAAGCTGCTCCCGCCAAAATTGCGATACAGGGGTTATTCATAGTGGGAATCAGCTGATGAAAATTTCCAGTCTGCTGCTTTTCCGGAAATGCAAAATTTTAGGGTGACCTTATAATTATTAAACGCACTGTATAGCCTATAACTTGCTTCGAGTACATGGTGGATTCTTTAGAGAAACGATAACAGCCCTTCATCTCCTTTTCCTACTATACAAATACGAAGCACACCAAAATTTAGTTCCTGGATCGCGCTTTTAGCAAATATTTAATTCCACGGCCAGAATGTTGTGGCCAGAATGTCGATTCATGATGAGGATGATGGGATTGTGACCATTATGATCAAGTTTGAGATATCCATTTGGAAGACTTCCGTCAATATCGGAAACACATGTGATTCTTTCCTTAGCGACTGTATGAAGGGAATTCAATGTTCATTACATAAGAAGGGCATAAAAATACAAATTTTTAGTAAAACAATGCAACGACAATTCTATACATAGATACTTGCGAAAGGCGAACACAAAAGCTGTGAGAACTGTGGAATTTATTTGATGGACGATCGCTGATTGAATTATAACTCCCTGGAAATGAGAGCTGATGAGTTTTCAAATTCAGACACCCTCGAGACAGAAGAAAGCAATCCCATACAGGATCAAAGCGGAAAATTACTCACTCCGACTCAATAAATCCATTAGTATAAATTCTCAGCATGAACTCAGCCTCCTCATTTGGTTCGAATGTTGAGGAACAATCTCATGGGGGAGTAGTTGCCTGGCGGCACACGGAATCGACCGGTCATCTTTAAATGATTACTATAGCCCATGACTTGCAACTAATTCGTTGCTGACCTAGCATCCAGGCAACTAATTGATGACATCGCATGAAATACCGATTACAAACAAATGAGCAAATTATTCAGAACAAATTTTGAAGTGATACTGAAAAATTTGTCCTTAAAATACAGCCGTGGTGGTCGATCCAGACGCACCCTATTTTGTACATGTGTGTAAAAGAGGCTTTATATGCTAAGTCGACTTCTGCTCTCTCTTACAGCCAAGCTGCCCAAACCCCTCAAGTTTCAAAAAAAAAATTTATAAAAAACTGTTGGAATTTGATTGTCCGTAACATGCTCACTACTTACAAATGAAACTCAAAGTACTACTATACTTGTGGTGCGATTCATACACAGCTGGCATATGATTACAAACATACAAAAGTTCATATAATTAGTTCAGAGGAGATTTTACACCTAGATTCTATGTAGATTTTGTGATCAATCCGAACATAAGCTCTAATTATAACCAATATAATCAATAAGCGCCGTGAAGCAGCAGTGACAGATAGCCCGTGGCGCGCGCGAGGGCCGAGACAGCGGACGAGACGCAGTGCGTACTTTATTGATTTTGCGCCAAGTCAAATAGAATGTACCATTGCACGTTCTACATCGCACAGCACGCGCTGCAGCTCGTCCGCTGGCTCTGTCTTCCTTCAGCGCGACGGGCCTAAACGGAATACGCTTAGCCTCTTGCTGCAAATTGATGAGGCTGCATTCCTCATCGCGACTATTAGCTGTTGGAAGATCCTTGACGACGTCTGTGAGGGTACCAGCCTATAATAGAGTACTTGTAGGTAGTAGGACCTCAAACGGGATATCTAGTGCTAATTAGGTGCACTACATAGAAAACGAGACTATGAAGAATGCTACTCAATCTGAACTGCACTCGGTTCAATTAGCTACACAGACACACAAATTAACTAAAACACTTCTAGCGTTTAGCACAATCTAGAGCAACAGAAGGAACGTAAAACTCAGCACTTTTGTAACCAACCGTAGAAGACTCACCGACACCTGCAAACAGTTTTTGCTCAGCAATAATATCAAGAATTTCTTCTGACAGAGCGCAGCCGCTTTAATAAAGCCTTCCCCCTAAGACGACCATTTCCTGTGGCACGGGTTTGAAAATGGAGAAAAGAACGGTTGAGGAAGGATGAATACGGTTGCGTGGGTACAATTTAGAAGTTTAACTAGAAAGGCAGGTTTCTAAACACAACCTTTAGGGTCTTTTATCAGCCGAAAAGATGAGGAAGAAAAGGGGCAATGAGGGGTTGCATCAAGCAATAAGAGCGGAAAAGGTCTCTCTCTTTTTGGATTGAATTTTGGGATTTTTGAGCGTGTCAAGTGATGGCAGGTTCCATGATACTATGGACACTGAGTATTGTTGATGTGGAAGGAGGGGGTGATGAAGTTGGACGAGGGGGGGGGGGAGAGGTTACGCTTCTAGTGGGCGTCCTAATTTCGACATTCTCAGACTGAGGCATGGTGCATAAAAACTATGCCCAAATTATATAAGCTGCGGCCATGGAACTAAAGAAATCGCACACATGAGTATTTCGCCGGACTCCAGCAGTATATTGCGGAATGAGATTGAAACAACCTGCATTAATTTGAGGGAAAAATACGTGCTTTTGATTCCTGCTCTACCGATGCAATAAACACTGTACGCCACCTCGCTTTTATGGGACGCCCAGCTCAGCGATGGGTCAAGATTGCTTTGATACTCATCATGCAGGCGATGTGAGACAGTACTTCAGCTAAAGGATGGGCTTCACAAAAATCCAGCATCTAAGCACTCGCAAATCTTACATGTGGATCGGTGGCGCTGCGCGTAGCCGCGTGCTTATTGTGACAGAAAAATTAATAATTATTTGAAAACTGAGAAAAACAGCAGTTGACGCGAACAGAGGAGAGCATCATCTGAAAACGATATGAGGCAATTCTAAGGTATTTACAAGAAAATGAAAATATAGTGTAAAGGAGACTATCTCTTCAGGATTGTGAAACATTTGGAAATTGCTCAATCAAAAATAACTTCTGAAACAATTTATCCGCCACTTTTTTGGACTGCTGAACGAAGATAAGCGCCAGCTTTACACCACAACTTCTAACTTCATGGATTTTGCTTTGAAGTTTTCATAAAGTTCGAAATTGAACGGAGACTTCAAAAAGGCTGCCACAAGACAAAATTTCAAATGGGAAAATCACAAAATTTGAAGGCACATCCATGATCGAATAAGTATTATGATGCCTACACCAAGGAGAAGTTCGAAACAAGTTGAACCAGCATTTAGGATTTTTCGGGAAGGCTTGTACTCGGCTCTTCATGGAAGTAGAGCCACACTGGGTAGAACTGACAGAGAAGCAGGCCCGTCTGACGTCTGCCTTTCGACATCCCCGATGGGGTATGGTCGCAGAAAGCTGGTCGAAAGCTTCGCTAGCAGCACTGCCGAATTATTTAGTACTTCTGATTAACAAAAACTATATTAAACTTAAACGATAACTTCCAGGTCAACAAATCGCTATGGATATTCGCCGAGCTCATGCTTGTTATTGCAAGGGATGTTCCCACCACCATTTTCCCAATAACAAGTACAATTTGTTCAACAATGGGCTTGAAAACGAAAATCTGAACTCAGAAAAACTCAAATCCATAGCAGAATGTACTCACATCGTAGACCGCGAATCCAATTGGGACGTTATCAAGGCCCTGAGCCTTTAGATTTCTTCTGTATTTCTGCATTACAGCGAAGATCACTGTACACAACTCATCATCGTCATCTGGATCAGAATCGGTGAGCTGCACACGATACTGAGGGTTATTCGCAAAGGTGTCTGGAATTGGATACATGTGATTGAAATGGCTTGATCGCAGAACATAGTGCTCTACGTACTAATGTAATTCCTGCAACCACCAGCGGTCTGGTTACGGATCCATGCGCCATCATGGGTATTTGTGGCCCACACCATACCAGCCGTGCGCACACCGGTCATCTTAAGTACTGCCATTATTCCACAGAATATTTTAGAAAATGCACAGACTTGTTTTTAATTGGATAACTGCTGTTTTTGCCGCAGTTCGCGTTGCGAAAGTTCACAAGAATGCTGAGTTGTGGGCAAAACTTTCGCCCCAGCGGGACTTCGTACCCGGACCTCTTGCTTTCCGGGCAATTGTGCTACCAGTTACACTACCGGGGCACCATTTCATCCAACTCAGCTTCGATGGTCAATTTACCATTGCTTATTATTCACACATAATATGGTGAATGCTGATAAGCAATGACAAATCGTTTTATCATCGAAGCCGGGGTAGAAAGGTATCCCGGTGGTGTAACTGGTAGCACAATTGCCCGGAAAGCAAGAGATCCGGGTACGAATCCCGGCTGGGGCGAAAGTTTTGCCCACAACTCAGCATTCTTGTGATGAGTACAGCGTGAATTCCTTTAACGGAAAGAATTTTTGATGAAGAGAATTTTTCAAAGCGATACATTACTTGTAAGCAATTTTTCCAAGAAAGGGAATCCGTAAATTCGCTGTAGTATGATGAAATATGAGTTATAGACGCATAATTTGATAACTTGGCGCATTTTTTTCTCAGTGCTATTCGGTTTTAGTTGATCAGTAGATTGATGGGAGGTTTACGCGACAAGAAGTCAGGAAAAAATTAAGGAGTTGTTGTTCGAAGCAATACGGAAATCAGTTACCTGATAGACTTCGTCCATGACATCGGGTCCGAGATTGCAAATTTCCATCTTCTCGAAGTTCCTCATAAAATCCTCGAACGTCATCCTAAGATTAATTTTAATTGAAGACCTTCTTCTCCAATTAATATTCTAATAACCACTATCAATGAGAATTTCTTTCTGAACAACCACCCCATCAAAAATATAAAGTTTTATACGCTCCGTGCAAGATGTAGTTATTTGAGCTTTGCAAAAGACAATTAATCATGGAAATATTTTTCAGACTGCGTAGTCCTCTTGCGGTGAGTCATGAAATGGCATTTGTTCGAACAAAGCAAATATACTGAAACAATCATTCTGAAATTCGGAGGCAGACACAAATGTGACCGACTCAGTGAGTCAACTTTCTGAATAAGCGGTTTCGCGCGGGAAGATGGATGAGAAAAAATCGACTCACACAGAAGATCGCGTAAGGTGAAAGAAGTCAAGAAAAAAGACAGTGTGGATAACACTGAGAGCATGTCGAGATTATTCTCTGCCTTCGTTAGGACAAAAGAATTCAAAGGAAAATAGAGAAAAGCGGGAATAAAAAGGAGGACCAATTTTTATCTGAAGAATTAATGAACATTCTTGTAAATGCAACCTCATACAGAATTCTCATCAATGTCGAACTGTAAGGCCTACTCTGTTGTTTGGGTACCTGGAAGGACGCTGCCCTCACTGAATATCTGCACCCGGACCCATTCCATACCTAGATACAAATAAATACCACAGCAATTTTGATGAACTATTTAAGTGGAATAAGCGCACTAGAAATTCAGTACTTCTTTAAATACGTTTCTATGTCCAAAATAGGCAGAAAAAAATGGAAATGAATGGATGTTAAGCGAAATCACAAAAACTCTAATCTCGCTAAGGGCAACAACCCTAGATGAGATCGTGTAGAAGAATCTATTGTGGGTCGGGTTGATAAGCCCCGTAATAACAGGATAGCGGTCTAGTCCTGGCGACCAAAAGTGGTGGTGGTGCTAGGCCGGTTGAAAGGATCTGTGGCAGCTAATTTAGAACTTACGACGAGATACCTCGAATCCCTAGCATGCAACGCGGATAAAAGAAAGCAGTCACGCTGGCTTCCACGCTGGATTTGCTATCCTCGCGTTATCAATCGATAAGGTGTGAGGCAGTAATTGTTGGACGAGTGTAAGCCCATGGAAGATATGATACGATGAGATAAGAAGGTGCGGCTGCTTGATAAGAGGTGCACTCCAGAATGAAAACGGGACGATAACGATAACGGTATCATATCTAGCACGCTCTTATCGCACCCCTTTCCACATCGATAAGTCTTGGGTTTTGCTGAACTTGAGTGAATTTCGGCTCCTTATCACTTCATTGATAAGGGGCCACTGCCACTGAAACTTTACGTGTTCTAACATTGGGCAGGACCTCTATCCACTCCAATACATAGCTTTCCTTATCGTTGCCATGAAAATTATCGTGACTGCTTCCTTTAAGGAGATAGCGATAAGACAACCGATAGTTAGATAGATATGACTGATGCGTCGCACTGATGCGATGGTGTACAAAAAAGACGTCCAATCACATCCTTTCCTCGCCATCATCAGTCGCTGTTAACTCACCGAGTCGATCTTGGGTTGTTGCTTTAAGCTTCCCCACCGGGTATTTCAGGATATTTTAGGGCGAAAAACTTGATTTTACCCGAATTCTCATCGATCTCAAATTTTTGTGCGAATATCCTACGCATTCTTCAATAAATTTTGCTCAACTCACTTGTTCATTTCCCCATGGATTTCGAATTCTCATCAGGCACACCTGGCCACGTGGCCCATTCACAATACGCATTCCAGTGATCGAATACGCGTGACCCTATGTCAACAAACATTAAGTGCAAACAACACTTGAAGTTACGAATTACAGCTGGTCAGAACATTTGATGGCTATTCCAACCTGAGAGGTAAATTTATACTCCGCTCACCTTCACAAGCCCATTCGGCAGCTTAGCTTCCCAAACGTTGGGATCAGCTTCGATGGAACAACCAAACAGTGAACCCATCTCGAATCTGCAACAAATCTCCGAATTCACTGAATATTTTTATAATGCACAACAATCGAAAATGTACCCTCTCATCATCATCTGCATCAGATTTCTTGGTGGTTGCAGGAGGTCGAAGAACTCTGTGAGACCACCAGTCATGTCCTCAAGCGCTTCTGATGTGGTACCGCCTTTAAGAGCTTCATAGGAGCCATACAGCCTGATAAATGGCAATTTCAATTATTCTGTGAAGTTCATAAGAACGCAGTAAAGTCAAAGGACGAACGTGAATTGATTTTCCATTACAACTCGGAGCTCATGTCGTAGGAGGACAATCAAGTGAGTCAACCTACTAATTGAGACTATCCCTTGGAGAGGGGAAGGAGCTCGGAAGGAGGATGTAACCAATTTTTGTTGTTCCTGGGGTTCTCCCTTCTCCTGGGTTCATCCCAGTGTCACCTCATCGTCGTTTTCAAAGGCCCCGGTTTGTCCCCCCCCCCTCCCACAAAACTGTGGGCGCAAAAATCTTTTTCAACAAAATTTCTACATCTGATCGAGTTCGAAGGAAAAATGTGAGCTCCCCAATTTCTTTATAATGTCCTATCCTTACTTCGTTGATGGGCACCCCAATCCTCAACCTCTCACTTTAGTTCAGCATCGGTTCAGTTCCGTAGAAGAGAAAAAGGGTTAGTTAAACCAGTTTAGACGAGCAGCAGACTATAAGCCAGAGATTCGGCAGAACCAAGAACAAACACCATCTGAACTGAAGTGTTTCTATAGGCCAACCGTTATCAACATCATATTCTAACCATGAAATGAGACACTAGATACATTTTTCCGCAACACTTGCATTTAACCTTCATTGCAGAAGTAGTTGGCAGAAGTAGTTGAGTTGGTTTGAAATCGAATGCCACTAGTTTCAACTTACTTGGCGTAAGCCTTCTCCAGAAGAGCACTCCAGAACTCGTTGTTACTCTTAGAGTGCATGTACAACAGTTCGCCGTTGGATGTTGGTAGACGATCATCAACCACCACATCCACCCATTTACCATATTGCCAGAATTGGAAATGGAAAATACCTGAACGTCACTTTGACAGCATTTGGAAGCTACAAAAAATCATGTGTGGATTTCGTATTTCTTGCGGCGAGAATTCATTGAATTTGAATTTGATTTGATTCAATTCTTTAACAAACTATAAAAGTGAACTTAAGCAGTGGAAAAAATTCAAAACTTGTTCCAAAAAACCATACAGTCGAAAGAGAAATCACCAATGTACGAACCTGCATAATTCTCAGTGAACGACTGATCTGGCGGTACAACACGATAGAACAGCTCATCCTTGAGGGTGAGGTTAGCAGCGGCAGCAAGCAGCCAACAATCACCGAGTTCTCCCTGGAAAGTAAATTTTCGGAGGGAAAAAGTACCAAAAATAACTAATAAAAATTTGCACCAAAATGAAACTCACTTGAATCACATCGAAACGCGAATGGCCTTCAGTGATAAGCTGTGGATCACGGACAATTTCCTGAAGAAAGTGAATATGTAAACCCTCGAAGACCTTTCAAGTCATTGAAAAATTTTACTACCATTCAATCCAATCTAACGAACTAGAACTCCAGGGAAGGCCTACGTAACTCTAGCTCTGAATGTCTCTCTATTGTTGAAAATTTTGGTGTGGAGTTATCAAGCACTACCAATGGCACGATTTCTTAGAGCACGTTTCTCGACAACAGGATGTGAGCAGTGGTTTAAAAAAAACTTTGCATGATCGAAAAAAAACAATCATATCGCTGCGGCATACATATTTGCCACGACGTCCTTTGTGGCTGAAAGGGGCATACATAGTTAGCCCACTGTCGTCAATGGACTAACTAGAAGTCCCAGCAACCGAAAAAAGTGGGTAAGGGTTAGCGGAGGGAATGGGGTCAATCGCTTTTGTTGGGCGGAACATGCCCGAAAGTAGGCGGAGTTTGCTACGAAATTAATAACTAGGTTCTTAGAAGTCCCGGTGACCGGGAAAGAAGTGGACTGAAGTTAGAGAAGAAGGGAGGTTTGAAAGCTGTTGGGGCAGGGGTCACCGGAGTGAGCGGAGATTCCCACTCGCCGTCATAACTCAACACCCTGACGACCCTTACAGAAGCTAGCAGTGGAGGGAGGTGAAATGCGATTAGTGCATCGAAGTGGTTAGCGCGAAGATCCGCTATGGCATTATCAAATATTGGTAGTGTATCGGGCCAAGTTTGAGAATTTACGCCGTTCCAATCCACATCGCCGCAGAACTGTGTGATGCACGCGAATGCGTGCGCAGCTAAACTGGTGAACTAATAATGTTCATTGCCAATCAGCGGTTGTCTGTAGCCCCTACAGATCAAGCATGTGAAACGACAGCTTACTGGCGTTAACTTTACCACTTCAAAATGACTCCCGATTTGCTTCGCCATCGCCAGAAGTTGATCACTTTTTGCTGTCTCTCATGCCGCGAGGAGTCTTCATCTAACGCCTGTGGCCGCACACTATCGTTCCCTGTTACTTTCTAGCCTATGGTCGCCACACATCTTCCCTGTTACTTTCTAAGACTTGCAATTCTACACCAAGTCATTTTCTGTAGCTTCTTGTGTACCCCCCCCCACCTTCCAGAAGCAAGTTCGGAAAAGTTTTCAATCGAAAAAAAATTGAGCGATAAAACGTACACCAGGCCTGAGCCATTCAATTCGTTTCGGAGGACTTTTGCTGTAGAACAACGAACTGTCCTGAGCAGGGGAAGTGTGGATCCTCAAAGAGGCGTTTCTCCTGGAAATCAAACGTTCTCTGTGCCAGAACATTAATTTTTAAAGAAATGAAGTCGACAAAAAATTCCAGGAGAAGGATTCCAAATTAAAAGTGCAAAACAATCTCACCTGCAGGCATTTGTCACGTTCTTCATAGAAGTCAAGCGGTGCATGAGAAGGAATTGGCTGTATTGGCGTGATTCCACCGGTGCGATCTGGTCTTGGTTCCGGACGAACGAACGGGTCTACCTGCATATCGGAATAAATGAGGATATAGATCCTTAAGAAAAAGGGCAGCTGAGTTCGCTCACATCTCGCCTGAACTTTCCGGAGATAATGTTGTCGAGGATAATTTTACCAATATTACCCAGCGAATTATCCTTACCACCAAGACCCATGATCACATTTCAGACAGCTCTGAAGATGGGGGAAATAGCAAAGTTGTGCAGACGTTTTTCAAAAAAAGGATACACAAATATTCTCTGTAATAAGGGTAGTTTAGTTCCGGAATAATTTGGGACTTGGGCCACTAACATACTCTATTTGCAAGTTCAGCCCCATGTCTTTGTTCAATTGACTTCACGACTCCTGGTAAAGCACACTGTAGCTAATCCACTTAACAACATTAGGCAACGTGGTTTAAATCAAAGGTTTTTATGTCTTCAACGGATGCCTTGAGATTCATTGTAACGTTGCCACAAAGACCAACGCTGAACGGCAAGCACTTAGTTGAGAACTAAATAACTCTCTTCAACACCTCCAACAAGAGTTGAGTATTCTGACGCGAAATGCAGATTTCTCGAGAAAAAGCCATAGTCCATCTATGTAGTATTATTCCAAGACAGCCATGAGTTAGACCCTGCTGACAGTCCGTATGGTACCTTATGAGTGCGTCGTGCGAAGTAGACTTTATTCGAGTACACGTAAGTCGCGCATGCACTTTGCTCGTTCCATATTTTTGAAATGTCATAAGGCTGACTAAAGTGAAGTTACTTCGATCACCGCTCGGGTGCCAGAGAATATAATCACCCAGCGTCAAACCGTCATCTCCTATTAACGGTATCCTAAGGGTGAAATCTCGTAAAGAATGGACGAATAATGGTCGCTACAATGCGGCGCCTCCCCTAACAATGGTCTCGGGCGATTCCGGTCTCACCTTTTGTTGGTTATTCGCATCAATAGTATTGGGTAAACCTTGTTCAAAACCACTTAATTCAACTCCATCCCCCCCCCCCCAAATTACCACCCAGGGGAAGAGTATTTGGAGAGGGGTGGGAGTGCGATGGGGCATATTTTTGCTGAATAGTAACATTTTTCACTTATGCCGATAATTGATTTTCCCGCCTATCTCCCTCCTTCTCGAATAATTCAAATAACGAGAAGTCCATTGATTTGATCACCCTGAATGCCTTGACATATTCCTGGAAATCCTAATTTTTATGCGAATTCGTCTGCCTCTTTTGTCTGTCCAACTGCTGTCACGGAATTCGCATAACTAGAAATCAATCTGGAGAAGCCAGGTCAAGTTAGGGGTGGTAAATAGGTCGATAAGTACGGAACGTTTTTTAGCAAAAAAAAGCACTGCCCGCAATGCTGAAGAGAGAACACTGGGTGGTGCTGGAAACAAAACCTTGCAGTTCGATAATATCCTAACATTGTCACGGAGTCAAAAATATTAAGTGTAATTCAGCGCAGACTATGGACAGCTGAGTTGGAAAATAGCCCATGAGGGGTAAAAAACAAAACTGATCTGTAAAATAACGAAAACATCGATAACATAACCATCGCTTACCGATAATGCGCCCTGTAGCTGGATCGACCCCAAGAAAACGATGTGCGGCTTCACCGATGAGATTTCCAAGTATGTTCACCATTCCTCCATTTAATCGATTTGGATTGATGTTTCCTCCTTGAAGAGCCATTTTAATAAATCTAACTAGTACTCGACCTTTTAATGTTGGCGAAAGACCAGAAAACTGCTAGAATGCGGATGCTCACCTCCACCACCGTACTGTCCGCCACCTCCACCGATGAGGCTACCAATACCTCCAATTATGCTTCCGATATCAGTACCACCACCGCGGCCGCCGCCGCCTCCACCACCCCCCACCGCCGATGGAGTTGATAATACCTCAACATTTACTCTTTTTGGAGATATCATAACCAAAAACGCATGATGCGAAAATTACAGTTCTGTGAAGTTACTTGTTGTGATACAAAAGTTAGTTCTATGGCTGATAAGGCTATTTAAGTTTCAACTATTTTGCTGAATACAGATACCGTAGTTATTTTTGGGATGCTTCAATATAGGAACACACCAAGGGAGAGTTCGTGGCAAGGTCGGTCATCTTCGATGAAATACGGCTTGTTTTCAGCCCGCGCTCAGGGGTCACAAACGTGTCAGTGCAGGATTAGCAAGTACGAGAACTTTCTTGCGTTTTACGAGAAACTTTGCCAATCCAGTGAAAAACTACGAACCTACACCTTATAATATGTAAACACTTTTAAGGGACTCCTGCAATTCAGAAAGGGAGATGAATATCAAGCTGAAAACAACGAACGCTTAATTTATAACAAGTTCACTATCATTCTTCACTACCTCCAATATCGTTGAAGTTGAATCCTCCTCCGCCTCCGCCTTGCGGTCGTCCACCACCGCCACCTCCATAGCCGCCATCGTCATAGCCGCCGCCTCCCCGCCGAAGCCACCGCCGCCGCGACTTCCTTAAGTAATTACTTTTTCATAGAATAACACGGAAATTCTATTGCATACCAGCTGGTCGGTCCTGCCGTCACATGTTAGTGTTGCGAGCGGTCGTTTGTAAATAAAGCTACTACTCAGAAAACTAAATTCGCCCTATACGCCACTCACAACACCTGCGAACCAACTAACTGTGTGAGATCGGCTACATGCATTGTTGTTATCACGCTCAGATAGGCTTCCGCAAGGCACACAGAGTAAGACGAGTCAAGCAACAGAGAGAATTGAAGGACTTCTACTGCATATGTGTATTGGAGCGCTATTTCTGCTTGTTTGTATGCCCATCTACCACTTTGGCTGTTTGTGTGTGAGGAAATTGGACACTACCTAAAGTGCTGGGTAAAGTTCAGGATGGATGATGCGTGAGCAAAAATGATGCAAATCGAGCACGAGGAGCCCCTCCCTTGGCAAGCGTGGTATGTGGCGGGCAACATTAGGATTAAAACCGCCATGTACAGCATAAAAATGAACCAGAGGCCGCGAGGATAGATAAAGTTAACACGTGGTTAGGGCACGAGATGAAAGAAGTTCGCTGGCAGAGGGCGAAGCGTTCTCTAAATAGGCTGTATTCGCCACAAGAAATCATCGCTTGGTTTTTAGATAGCCTGGAGGTTTCAGATAGCTTGGAGTTTTTTATTGAAAAATGGCAAAAAATTTCGTAAACAATCCAATTTCGCCTGCTGAGCTCTACAGCGAAGCTTCCCACACAATGGCGGCATGCCCTAACCGGGGGTAGGCCTTACTACAAAAATTCACAAGATGGATGGCAGGTCACATATCGAAAAATTGTAGTAATTTGTAGGACCAAGCTGATGAAGAGAAACGGTAAAGCTTTTGGCCTTGATCATCTCCTTTGAAGCGCCATAAATTCTTTTACATATAACAAAAAAAACTTAGCGACATAGGAATGCGATTTTAACCCTTTATACTCCTACATGGATGTTAAATTAATTAAAAGGCCTTGGATGGAATGAAGGCTCACTGGCTTGGCCTAGATTTGGTGCGAGATTTTTCCTCCACAAAATTCCAACACTAGTACTGTGATATGCAAAGATATGTGCCACTACATCACTGCTGCCCCCGGGGAGAGCCCAGAAAGCGGTGCTCTCGTACTTCATCCTCTAGATCTCTGTCTTGCCCGATTTTTCTGTGTCTGAGCCTGTCTGAACCCTCACAATGCCGACTGTAGCACGCTGGAAAGCACAAAAAGCAAACCTCCACCACCTAGGATGCCGCCGATGATGTCACCCATTGGGTCTCGGCCTAAACTTCATATAATATGCACATGCTGGAATCAGGTGAAATTAGCACATTTTGACGACTGTGGACGAGTACAGCTGCAAAAACATGCAAGACCGACAAAGAAACTGGAGCAGAGTCAAATACCGCTCCATGTCGAAAAGATCAAGGCGATTAAGAGGACATTCACAAATAGCACATCAGCTTACACACATGTTTCATGCATAAAATCACAGAAACCGTAAGACATTTCAATCCCTTGCCGTGATATCTGATATTCCACATCCGGTGGAGGTCCACACAACATGAACGAACATTTCGGAATCGAAACCTCTTACGGTTTTCGGACATTTTCAGGACATCATCAATGCAGCACCCTATCCCGAACAATCAGTACTAAGGATATTTTGGCTATACATACGGGTTCTGCCGAACCTTTCTTGTCGTCCTTTCGACCACCGATCAATCCGCCAATAAAGTCGAGCGCTTTGCTGCCCTTAGATTTTGGCTGTGACGGTGACGGCTGCGGTTGTCCACCGCCACCGAAGAAGCCACCGCCTCCGCCGTCATAGTTATTATAGCCACCTGAACGACACAACATGGAGCACACAACGACACACGAGCAACGACCTCTAATCACAGTAAGCAGTACCTCGGCTGCAAAGGGGAAAATTCGCAAGAAATGAGGTTGGAACCTTGAACAGGTTCACAGCTTGAATAAATATAATACCCTTGCCGTGCGAGTTTTGGAGACTCACCTCAAAAGGGTTGTACCTAGTAAGCTTGGAAATATCACTGAATATCTAGCGATGTTTTTTGGAAGTCCTATGCCAAAGAAGAGGGAAATTTGCACGTTATTGCCTAACCAATATCTATGTGTATCAAACTTCCAGGATTTAGGTTGGGTGGTACAGTTGGAGCTTCCCAAACGCTTTCCCCAGGAGCCTGGAGGAAGCAAATACGTTTCGATTCGCTTGAAAACTATGCTACATTCCCCTTCATTGCAAACGGCCCACTGTGATTAGTGTCGCTTGAATAAACGGTGCCATTAAGCTGAACCATTTTCAACGGTGAAATTGCTATGTAACTATAGACTAACATTCTACGAAAACCATGAAAAAATCGGCACGCGAAATATTAAAAAATGACGACCCAGAACCAAGAGTGACTACGAAATCTCATGAAAAGAAATGTTCACCACCACAGCAAAATGCGTATATCTGCATAACAGCATTGCACGGCTATACAAAATTATGGAGACTAACGAATCAACGAGCCACACTGACATTTGTTAAAAAGGCGATGACTCGAGAGACAGTGCGAGTGCATCCAACAGCAAATTAAGCTATCTCTCATACTGGCAAAGACGGGATAGACCATCGTCGTCGCATTTGGAGATAAAATACTACACAACGGAATGACTACGGGAATAAACTGAGGAAGGAAAAGGGAAAGAGAACCCAGGTCCACAGCAGAAGAAAGTACTTGCGATTTTCAGTTCGAAAATTGTTAAAATCATACCTCTACCACCACCACCCAGCACATTGTCCGCAAGGCCCGCGAGAATATCACCACCTGGTCCTCCTACCTGAAACCATAAAAGAACGTTCAAAAAATAGAGAAATGTAAAAAATGCTAAAATACTAGGCTGCTGAAAATGAAAAAACAAAAAAGATGGTGCAAAGGAGCTATGAAAATGAACAGACGCGCAAAAATCGGTCAAAAGAGCTAGCCGAAAAAGTTTTTCGTGCATTACAGTTTTTTCTCTTGAAGAAGTTTCAAAAGTTTCTTTGAAATTTCCCTCTTCAATACCTTGAATACTTAGCAAATGAGGATTCAAGGAGATTAGAAGGCACAACATATCAGTATCTGAAGGGAATTGATCAGTGAGAGAAAAAACAGTGCACGAAAACAAGCACTTGACCGCCTCAGTATGTACACCGGAAACAAGAGCAGTCTATTAACCCTTTGACGACCGCCGTTGTTCGTGCATTGCTTTACTTCTTTTCAAATTTTTTCGCCAATATTTCCACTGACACTTACAACAACCAACTTTCATTATTAGTTAATTAAACCTTTTTTGTGCGCTTCCGATACATGTAATATAAGCTCTTGAAACACTTAATAAATTGCCAAAAATAAAATCATTCACAGAAAAAACGAGTCGCCCTCTTAAAGTGAAGTGTGCCCACCGCGGCCACACGGTCGTCAAAGGGTTAATTCCCCAGCCTTTCTCTTACTATCACAACTGAGATTTTGCGATGGTGCTCTATGGTGGGCAGATAGAGCGAAGAGAAGTGAACATTTCACGGATGAAATTTGATTGCGATTCCGAACTAGTGCCGCTAAATTCATTGACAGAAAATTACATGAATTCTCAATTCGGATCGAGTACTATACTAGTAAAGACACAATAGTGAGCTGCTCCCAATGCAGCGTTTTTCCCTGTACAATCAATTTCCTGAACGGCATTCTAGAAAAGAGGAGCAAAGCAGACGGGAAAGGCATCTCAGAGAGAGATAGGTTGTAGGAGATAGGAGATCCGGCAAGTCTATCGAAACAATCGTATGTGGTATCGCTCAATACACGTTACCCGACTCTTCACAAAGCTTGGTCAAGAAGTTTGAGAATGTGGGATGAGAATAATGCAAACGTGCCCTGTCTCGAATAAGGTTCCCAGCGATGTTTCCGATCAGACCGCTGAACTCGTCCTCCTTGACGACAACCTGTAAAGGATTTGTGATAGTTTTTCCGTTGCTAAATCTATGAAAGGATGTTTGCTTCGCGCTTTGGAACATTTACCCTTAACCTGTTTCCACATCAAAGCCTTCAGGTCGTCCAAAAAGCTGATTCACACCCTTTTTCATAACCTCTTCGTCACCCATGGCTGGTTGACTTGCTTGTTCGTTTGAAACGGTAGTCTTCTGGTAGTGTTCGTCGTTCTCGACGGTTCGATCGGCGTCTGAAACAAACTGGAGTCGAAAAAGTTTCAACTTTAAAACTACTCTTATTTAAAGAATATAAAAACACGTACTGCCGAGAAAAAGTGGGAGGTATTTCATTTTCTGCTTTTTTTTTCAAGACAGGAGAACATCATCAATAACAGAGAGAAAAGTAGATAATGGCTTCGCCAATATCTTGACATGTGCGAAAAAACGTCGACGGCAGAAGAAAATATGTGAGCAAAGCGAAGCGCTCACGGAACTGGACACAACAAATTGAAATTAGGAAAGGATGAAGCATTCAGCGCTGATCAATCCCTTTGTGGAACGCACCACGCATTCTACTTCCAATCCAGGTCGTAGTGGCATTTGAATGCGATGTGGCCTATACAATGACTTGCGGGGCCAGCCGATGTACAAGTCAGTGTTTTTATCCTCCCAGACAAGTCTGGTACCAATTAACCGACCCCGGAGGGATGGAAGGCTTGGTTGGCCCGGGCGACTCACGACCCAGGATTTGATCCCGGACCGCTCGCGTGGTAATGCCACTTGCCACTACACCACTTCCGCCTCTCAAATTCGAAATTGAAATATGACAGGAAAAATCCAATAAATAATTGGGATCAGACAAACGACAAATAACTGCTTCCCATAAAGAAAGTAAAAGAAAGAAATAATGGAGGGCTCTCAGCCTTTCTATGGAACAGGAAAGAAAAACTTCACTGTAGGCCAGATTACGAAACTGTTGCTCCTTATTTCCAGCTTCTCTCCTACCATATTCGCACATTCCTCGATTTCCTATTTTCCAAAAACTAACTTGATTTTATATCACTGCACTTACCTCATCTGCCTCTTACAATCAGTATAAAATCGCCGAATTCTGCTGGTGATACATTTTTCAAAGAGGCTATTATATTCTTGCACTAGCTAGCAAAACTACACACTCTGACTTTCAATTTATCGAAAACTTGTGATATATTTTTATGGCAACAAAAACTTAGCGCTTCTCTGCAAACAGTGAAAAAAACCGTCCTACAATTAGCAGTTGCACGATATTGGCAATACAACAAAACCCCTTGGTATAACACCATCTCCTAAGTGTCTTTAGTCCCACTTTTTGTGTGGGTCTTTTTTTTGCTTTAGCGAAAAGGGTTTGAAGCAGCGACGGATTAAATTGAAGAGTGAAGAGAAGGGATCATTACTGAAGTTTTGCGCGGAGTTTTAACAACTGGTTAAATCTGATAACAGACGTTGGAATTAGAGATGCCACATTCGCTACATGTTTCGAATAAACAGTAAAGCGTTCATTTTTACATGTGTTTGCGGGTTGGGAAACGACAGAAACTGAGTGAAAAAAAATAACGGTTGATAAAGCTTGAAAGAAGTGGTAAAGAACAAATGAAAAGGACTAAAACATTCTCCCAGCTGGCACAGCAGGTGATTAATCGGAAGCCCAGTGATAAATAGTCATGAAATTCGACTTGTCAAATTTAAGCTAGCACCTCTGATAAACTGCGACAGTTGATGAGTTATCGATTTAGTGATTCCTCCAGTCAACACTTTTGCTCCCAGTTGTTGTTGTTACTATGACAATCCAGTTTTGTTTGCAGGGTGATCTTCTATTGACTACTCATATCGTTTCATACGCTAAAATGTTACAATAGCTGTCTCATTTTTTTAAATGTGCGAACCAGGGAAAGTATAGTTTTGTTTCGTGAAGGAATTCTGCTGAAAAACTGTGTTCCTTCAAGTATGAAATTGGAATTGAATTCCCAATTTATACAACCATAAGTGTAATCTACCAGTTTTTCTCACCACTACAGCAATCGCGCAGCATGTCCTGCTCTTCTCTTTTTCTCTCTTCCTTCATTCATTGCTGACCTGTTTTCAATAGCGCACTGTATGGTGCGTATCACACGCGGAAAGGGTCGCCGCTTGC